GATCATAAAGTTGGGAAGCAGGGTGTGGTTAGAAAGATGGAAATACTCACTTCAGAAGTGTGTTCATTCAGGTGGAAGATATGTCAAAAAATAATAGTTTCATATTTTGTTATATTTGCTTAATGGTTTCTGATTTTAGAGCAATACATTCTGACTTACCCTCATATTTATTCCCAGAATAAGACTTGTATTTATTTCCCTCCTAAAGCTGGACTGGGCACTGACTCTGGTTTTCAGACTGGAGGAATTAGCATTGGGGTGGGGTGGGAGGTGAGGGTTGGTTTTAAGGAGAACCAGCATTAACTGATGATGAATGTGTTTCATGTAAAGGGAATCTCTTTAGAGAAAAGGATGTTTTTAACAGGCAGGGTGATTCAGGAAAATCTGAGGTTTCAAATTCTCAGACTTATCTAACAAAAATGTTTCCAACCCAGGACTCAAGGTCCTGTTCTTTCCTTATCAGAGTCCTGACTGTGATGTAGAAGACACATTGAAGCTGTGCTTCTAGTCTCCTTTGTAGTTCTGCCCCATTTATAGTCAGATGTGAGCCTGGTTTTCAGCAAAATCTGCCAGAAATATATTTACCTTTTTTTTTTAACTTGAAATTTCTTTTTCTTTTTTAAAAATCATTTTGTTGGTGGTTCTTACAGCTCTTATAACATTCCATACATCAATCGTATCAAGAATATTTGTACATATGTTGCCATCATCATTTCCAAAACATTTTCTTCTTGAGCCCTTTTAAACTGCCATAGACTCTCTCTGGATTTCAGAATACTTAGGATTAATTAGTACAATTAATCTGAATCTATAACTTTATTTAGAAGTTAGATGTTATCATCTTCTTCCAATAAAGAGAGGCTGAGATCTTGAGTGGGAGTGTGTATCTTGGCCCAGAGCCTTTGCCTGATATCCACTCACTCTGGCTTCTCTAAGCACTGGTATTACACATGACTTCCAAGACCCCACTTTTACCAACAAATCTAAGGTGGATAAGAAGGACTCACATGCTGGGATTTAAGAGTTGAATTATAGCTATCTGAAAGCAATAAAGATCTTTATCATTTTGGGAAACTGGGCAAGTAATAGCTCCTGACATATAGTAGCATCAAAGTTACTAAAATTTTCATCTGAAATGCATTGAAATTGGGTACAAATGATGTGCAAAGTACTGAGAGGCTAAGTCCGTAAAAGCTTAATGATATCTTTTAGAATTAGGGCCTGAGCTACTTCCTTATAACTGCATGAGGGGCCTTGAAAACCTTGCAAAGGGAATTGATGACAACAGTTGAAGTACCTGGCTGATCAAGGGAGTGGTGTGGGAGGGAGGCCAAAGCAGGAGAGTGCAGGCCACTGGGATTGTTTGTGGATCTGAAGCAGAGTGACCACATAGATATTGGGCCACTAAACAAGGACCTCAGGTTTAACACTGCTCTGCATGGAGGGGTGGGGGTATTCTGCATAGGTTGGGTTGTACAAGTACCACCAATAGCCTGGGTGGGGAAGTCTTGATGGAGGGAAATTGAGACAAAATTATTAGTCTCTTCTGGAAACTTTCTTTCAAACAAAGTTGGAAATACTGAAAGAAAAAAACAACAAAGACTCATGTCATCTGCAGGTCGAATTGCTTTGCTCACAGTAAGACATCTGGAAGCTAGAAGTGATGCAAAATCCCTGCAGAAAATGCAAGAGTGGCGATGCTATTTCTCCTAGAAATATATTTCTCTCTTTGACAGAAAATGGGAAGGCTGTCTTTAGCATCACATTTTTTCTCCAGAGGATAGGAACCCACAGTTGCCTCCTGAAAGAAGCAGGGGGCTTTCTCCTCCCATGAAGTCAGGGTATCAGGAACTCACTGGGACAGTTCTACCCTGACCTAGAGGACCAATGGAGTCCACATTGACTCAATGGCAGTGAGTTTGGTTTGAGTTTTCTTATTCTTCTTTGACCAGCAACTCAATTTCCTCCTCCCCAGTCCCACAGGTGCTATCCTTCTTACGACTCAACATTGCTCTTCATGTGCACGAATCAAAACCATAGCCAGGGGCCCTGGATTTTTGAGCTATAGCCTTGGGGGACTTAACTGGGAACATCCAGGGCCACTCTGGGAATGCAGGCGGTGAAGAGAGTGTTACAGAAAGCACTGTCAGGCTTCAGAGTCAAAACTCAGGGAATTCCCAAGCTCTATCAAGCTTAATTTAAGAAAATTATGATGGGGATAAGTAATATTTACTAGTTAATATCATGAACTAATAGTGCGTATTAGTTCATATTTTAGTTCGTGTCATGAACAATAACGGGCATTGTTCAGTGAATTAACTCACATAGGCACACACCACAAGGACACACTTATGTGTGGAGATGTCTTGTGTAGAAGTGCTCACCCTCTACATTCTTAGGGTGGCTTGCCACAAGGAGAGATCATTTCTAAGTGCAGCACCTGTTAGGTTCTATGCAGTGAATGAGATTCCATTTGGGTCTTGGAGGAGGGTGGAATTT